AGAAATCCGCGCTCTTACTTCAATAATTCGCGCTCTTGCACTAAATAATTCGCGAATTCTAGATGCTCTATAGAAAATCCGCGTTTCCGCGAACTAGCGCGGGAGCGCTGAGGCTGGGTACGCGAATTAGGTATCCTAACGCCAAACCCAAACCGATGTGCCGTCTGTAACTGCAACCGTAAAAATGGCGTCTCCACTAACTAACCTTACCCTTAATAAGAAAAGAAGAATATTGATATGACTTGAATCGGATTATCAGCCGCTACGACTGGTAATCGGGGGTCTGGGCCTAGTCTGTAACCGTTTCCTTTTCCAGATTGGATTAGGTTTAGACCCACATGGAGAAGTACTATAAATACTTCTCATACTCCTCTGTAATCTGTAATCTCCTTGATATAGTGAAACTGGCTCTCTCTCGCCCGTGGACGTAGCTAACACACATCGTGTTAGTGAACCACGTAAATCGTGTGTCGTGTTTTCGATTCTCGCTTTCGTATTCTTGCTTTGTCAATTCCTGCGATTTCCCGATCCGTAGCAACGCGTTTATAACAAGTGGTATCAGAGTCGCGGCCGGAAATCAGGCTAGGGTTTTCGATTCAGAAGAATGACGTCGGTGAACATGAAGATCGAAAAGTTCACGGGGAAGAACAGCTTCGCTATATGGAAGATCAAGATGCAGGCTTTATTAAAACAGCAAGGGCTATGGGGCCCGCTGTCTGCGAAACAGAAGAAGGCAGCGGTCGATGACGATGAGTGGAACACCCTGGAGGAGAAGGCCCACTCGACCATCATGCTATCGTTGTCTGATGACGTCATCATTGAAGTCGCTGCTGAGAAGACTGCCGCGGGCTTGTGGTTAAAGTTGGAGAGTCTGTATATGACGAAGTCCTTAACCAACAAGCTGCATCTCAAGCAACGGTTGTTCAGCTTGAGGATACAAGAAGGTACGCTTTTGAGGGAACATCTCGAACAACTTAACTCTATTTTGCTGAATCTGCGTAATATAGATGTTCAAGTTGATGACGAGGATGCTGCCCTAATCCTGCTGGTTTCTTTGCCGCGTTCATATGAGAATTTCGTTGATTCTTTTATTGCTGGTAAAGAAAGCGTGTCGTTGGAGGATGTCAGGTCTGCTCTTCATACGAGAGAGATCAGACATAAGGCGTCTGGATCTGGTATAGGTGGTGAGGCATCGGGTTTGGCTGTTACAGGTGGAAAGGGAAAGAAGAAATCTGGTAAAGGGGATTCAAACAAGAATTTCAAGGGTCCCGGTTCACAGCCAGGTGATGCTTGTTACAACTGTAAGGAAGTGGGGCATTGGAAGTACAATTGTCCCAAGAGAAGAGGGCAACAGAAGAAACAAGGTTCAGTTGTCGTGGCAGAAGTGGACAACAGTTCTGAAGACGATCTCGCCTTGGCTGTAGATGAGAAGGCACATCGTGGGGATGTGTGGTTTCTGGATACTGCAGCCTCATACCATATGTCTCCGAACAGGGATTGCTTCACAACCTACGAGCAGATAGATGGAGGTAACGTGGTCATGGTAAATGGAGCTGTCTGCAAGGTTGTTGGAATCGGGTCCATAAAGGTTCGGACACATGATGGTTCGTTCTGTACCGTGAATGATGTCAGGCATGTTCCACGAATGACAAAGAACCTGATCTCCTTGAGTCTACTCGACAGCAAGGGTTTCAGTTTCAAAGGAAAAGGTGGAGTTGTGTATGTCTGCAAAGGTTCAAGGATGGTGTTGAAGGGCGTGAAGCGTGGGACCTTGTATGCATTACAAGGGTCTGTGTTGTCTGGTTCTGCTGCCGTTGCATCGTCTTAGGTTCATCAGGAAGATATGACCACTCTCTGGCACATGAGACTGGGGCATATGAGTGAACGGGGGATGCAAGTTCTGTCGAAGAGGGATCTTCTTTGTGGGCACAGGATGCAGAATTTGGAATTCTGCGAGCATTGTGTGTTTGGGAAGCTACATCGCAGCAAGTTTCCCAAGAAGGGTATCCACCGGACGAAGGGGATACTGGATTACCTCCACTCCGACTGTTGGGGTCCTTCACGAGTTGAATCCATTGGAGGCAGCAGGTATTTTCTGTCTATTATTGATGATTATTCGAGATTTACTTAGATTTTCATGATGAAGCAGAAAAGTGAGGCTTTCACGAAGTTCAAGCAGTGGAAGACATTGGTGGAGAATCAGACCGGGAAGAAGATCAAGAAGTTGCGAACGAACAATGGTCTAGAGTTCGGTAATTCTGAGTTCAACGAATTCTGCAAGGATGAAGGGATTGCCTGTCATCAGACTGTGAGAGATACACCCCAACAGAATGGCGTTGCAGAAAGGATGAACCAGACATTGTTGGAGAGAGCATGGTGCATGCTCTCTAATGCTGGACTAGAGAGAAGATTCTGGGCAGAAGCAGTGAACATGGCGTGCTTCCTGATCAACCGTGAACCTCACACAGGTATCGAGTTGAAGACTCCTTATGAGGTGTGGTATGGTAAGCCTGCGGATTACTCTTCACTGAATTTTTTTGGGTGTCCTGTTTATTATCATGTGGATGAGGGTAAACTGAACCCAAGGGCAAAGAAGGGTGTTTTTGTGGGTTACGGAGATGGAGTTAAGGGATTTCGAGTCTGGTCACCTTCTGAGCATCGAGTTATACTCAGTAGAAATGTGATATTTGATGAGAAGTCTATGTTTAACCCCATGTTGAAGGTTGCTGTTGTTGAAGGTAGCAGGAATGTTGATAAGCAGGTGGAGCTGTAAACTCTCAATGAGAGTGAGTTTGAGCACCAAGGTGGAGAAGATCAACATGATGAGGATGTCTCTGCAGAGCCAGAAACTTCAGAGTCCAGTGCACGAGCTCAACAGTCTATGGCTTCCGGTAGACCGAAGAGAGCGACTGCAGGAGTACCTCCACAGAGGTATGGTTTCGAGGACATGGTGGCGTATTCATTTCAGGTTGCTGAAGAAGTGGATGCAGGAGAGCCACAGTCCTATAGAGAAGCCATTTCGGGTGGCGAAGCTGATCAGTGGCTTGCCGCAATGGGAGATGGGATGGAATCCCATGACAGGAATCAGACTTGGGAGCTAGTCAAACGACCACAGGGAAGGAAGATTGTTACAAACAAGTGGATCTACAAGAAGAAGGAAGGAATCACTTCTAAAGAGGGCATGAAATTTAAAGCTCGGGTGGTTGCACGAGGCTTCTCGCAGAGGGAAGAAGTTGACTACAATGAGATTTTCTCACCAGTGGTCAGACATACTTCGATCAGAGTGCTACTAGCAATAGTGGCACATTATGACTTGGAGCTCGAGCAGCTAGATGTGAAGACAGCTTTCCTACATGGAGAGTTGGAGGAAGAAATTTACATGACTCAGCCAGAAGGATTCGAGGTTCCTGGAAAAGAAGACTATGTTTGTAAGCTGAAGAAGTCCTTGTATGGACTTAAGCAGTCTCCGAGGCAGTGGTACAAGAGATTTCACAGTTACATGCTTGAGCTAGGCTATAGCAGAAGTTCATATGATTGTTGTGTGTATCACAACAAGGTGGAGGATGGTTCGATGATCTATCTTGTTCTGTATGTGGATGATATGCTCATAGCTGCAAGGTCGAAGTCTGATATCCAGAAGTTAAAGGGGCTTCTCAGTGCTGAGTTTGAGATGAATGATTTGGGAGCTGCTCAGAAGATCTTGGGTATGGAGTTTTACAGGGACAGGTCGAAGAAGAAGCTTTTCTTGTCACAAAAGAGCTACATCCAGAAGATACTGTCGAGGTTTGGCATGTCTTCAGCAAAGCCCTTAAATACTCCTAGTGCTTCAAATGTTCATCTATCCCCAGCTTATGCACCACAGTCGGAGGCTGAGAAGGAGTACATGTCGAGAGTCCCATATGCTAGTGCAGTAGGTAGCTTGATGTATGCTATGGTATGCACTAGACCTGATCTTGCACATGCTGTTAGTGTTGTCAGCAGATTTATGATACAACCTGGGAAGGAGCATTGGCAGGCTGTGAAGAGGATCTTCCGGTACCTTAAGGGTAAACCTGATGTGGGGATTAGCTTCGAAAGTGATACAGAGTGCTTGGTGTCTGGGTATTCTGACTCGGACTATGCTGGAGATGTTGACACGAGGAGATCGATGACCGGTTATGTATTCACTCTTGGGAGTTCTATAGTGAGCTGGAAGACAACTTTGCAGTCGGCGGTGACATTGTCTACTACTGAGGCAGAGTATATGGCGTTGACAGAAGCTGCTAAGGAGGGAATATGGTTGAAGGGACTAGTTGGTGATCTTGGTCTACATCATGATCAGGCAGTGGTGTATTGCGACAGTTTGAGTGCAATATGCTTGGCCAAGGATCAAGTCCACCATGAGAGGACTAAGCACATCGATGTGAGGTATCATTTCTTGAGGACATAGAAGAGGATTAAGGTGAAGAAGGTTGGCTCCGCGGATAATCCTGCTGATATGTTCACGAAGCCGGTTCCACATGGCAAGTTCCAACACTGCTTGGACTTGCTGAATGTCTTGAGTGGGTGACTCCGCCCTGCAGGGCATTGATGGCGGGAGAGAGAGATAGAAGGAGCAGAGTACATCAGAGATTACAGAGGAAGAGGATTCAAGTCATGGTGGAAATTTGTTGATACGATTTGAATCGGATCATCAGCCGTTACGACTGGTAATCGGGGGTCTCGCTGACCGGTCAGCAAGTGGGGTCCAGGGGCAACGCCCCCGGCCCACGGTGTATGGGTCTGGTCTGTAACCGTTTCCTTTTCCAGATTGGATTAGGTTTAGACCCACATGGAGAAGTACTATAAATACTTCTCATACTCCTCTGTAATATGTAATCTCCTTGATATAGTGAAACTGGCTCTCTCTCGCCCGTGGACGTAGCTAACACACATCGTGTTAGTGAACCACGTAAATCGTGTGCCGTGTTTTTGATTCTCGCTTTCGTATTCTTGCTTTGCCGATTCCTGCGATTTCCCGATCCGTAGCAGCGCGTTTATAACAAGTGGTATCAGAGCCTGGTTCGGTCCGGGGCGGTGGACGTCAGTTCGGTGGACCCTCGCTCAGTGACCTTGGGGTTTGAGATCTGCATCTGGTTTGGTGGATCCAGGAGAGATCCACGTTTGGGCTTGGCAGATCAAAGAGAGTTCCGCATTTGGGAAGCAGATCAAAGAGAGTTATGCGTCTGGTAAAGTCCTTGTATCGAGAAGCCCATTGATAGAAGGCATCTGGCGGATCAAGATAATCGCTGAGGTGAGGACACGATGTTCGTGGTCCTTGGCTTGAGGGGAGGATTGTTATGGGACAATCCAAGTACCACATCGGTTATACAAGGGAAGGGACCCTTGTATATTAGTGTCCACCAAGCTCATTAGTACGAGGCCTTTTGGGGAGGACAACCAAAAGTAAATCCGTGCGGGCTTGGCTCAAAGCGGACAATATCGTACTAATTGAGCGCCCCGATTTCAACAAAGAAGAAGAAAGAATAACCAAACAGAGCCGCAAACAGAGCCGCACATTTGCTTAAACTGAAATTAACCAACCATCAATTAATTCATAACTACTCGTGTATTTACAGATTACAGCGGACCAAATAGCCTAGCAGCACAAACAATTACAATCGGTGATATATAGAATCCTCCGACTTATACAATTTGGGGCCGGGAAAATTCAACTCCATTAACTCTAACTCCAAGCAGTAATCTCCGTCCTCCGAACTCCTGCCACCACCGACGAACTCTTGCCGTTCCAGCTTTCCACCGCCGCCGAATACCTATCGGGAGTAGCCGGTAGCCTGGCCGCGAATCCGCCGAGAGCCAACTCGTCCTCCCGGCGGTGAGCATCGTCCTCGAAATTCAACGAGTAGCTCTCCGGATCGTACCTGAATTCTTCGGATCTGTAGCGCCTCCGATTCCGGCCCGATCTCCCCCCAATCACGAACCCCCGGAGGCACCGGTCCCGGATCTCGAGGTCGTGGATGTTAATCCAGCTGGATCTCGCCGCCCCAGCTGGCTTGGAGTTGGAGTGGTCGGAATAATCGTCGTCGTCATCCGGGTCGAGGATCTTGTGGGGGAGGTGGCCGACGGGAGTGAAGCAGCAGATTGAGGACTTAAGCATGTGCCGGAAGGAGGACGGAGGAGAGTCGCTGCTGATCATTGGCATCGCCGTTTCTCTCTGTTTTTCCCCCTTCTTCTGGATATTGTTGAGTGGTGAAGAGAAGTGTGGAAGAAAGTGCAGGTGGGTGGATCGGGTTGAAATAGAGGAGGGATGAGAATGGTGTGACCCGACAGTTGGACGCGGGGAAAACCGCGGGCCGGGCGTGGCCCCCGCGCGGGCCGGGCACGTCGTTTTCCGTTACTGGATGGGAAATTGGGAACCTACGGACGGAAGGGAAAAGAATAATTCATCCAACCGAGAATTTAATTAATTATCTGTTCTTTTTTGTGTGGGAAGAATTCGGTTGATTATTTGGATGAACAAAAAGCGAAATATTTTAATTTTGGACGGGGGAAAGGGTAAACTGGAGAAAGAAAAAGACAAAAGACGGGAATCTGACTACTGAGAGATGAAAACGATGTTGATTCGGATGTGCGACCAACGTTGTGTCGGTTGCTGCTATTTTGTTTTCAACCGTCGATTAGATTGGAGGAAAAAATTCCATAACACACGTGTTATTAAAATAAAATTCATAAATACACACGCTCTCAATCTACACATGTTTGGGTATCACCGCGGTTGAGAAAACCAGTGAAATATATCATTGCGGAGGGCACAACAGTAAGTGCATCACCGCGGGCAGTGGCGGAGCCACGTTGTGTAAATTTACATGTAAATTTCACAGCAAATTTGGATAATATAGTAGGTGGTAAGCCTTTAGCCCCCCTCCCCGGTTCAAACCTTTGGAAGTAAATTTTTTTAGCCCCCACTCATTCAGATTTCTGGCTCCGCCACTGACTGCGGGAGAGGACAACAGTAAGAAGGCCTTACCTGCACTGAAACTTCATCCGCCTTTGACTATTAGCGGCTTGAAAGATCTTAAAAAATTATGCGAAATAAAATTTTTTTCGCTACGATCGGATAACGGAGTGCAAAGTTACGTCTATTTGAGATTTCAGCGTAGTTCACACATTCACCACGGCCGACAGCCGCAGTGATGCATTTCACTGCGTTTGTCAACCGCAGTGATGCCCAAACATGTGTAGATTGAGAATTTTTCATAAAACATGTGTATTTTAGATTTGTTTTTAAGAACGTGTGTATTCTGGAATTTTTCCCCTGATTGGATAACACTAACACTATGTTTGGGATAAAGGGTAAATGAGAGGGGTGCAAGGTTGGAGTTAAATGCATTTTATAATGCATTTACCCCATTTGGATGATAGGGAATAGGACTATAGGAGTGAGGGGGTCAATTGGGGGTAACTTCACTATTTTCATCAACACCCCAATTTGGAGTGTAAATGAAGAGAGAAAGAGAGAATGTGTATTATTATTTTATATAATTATTTTGTGACTAAGAAATGTCATGTAATTATATAATAATAATAATTATTAATATATTATGATAGTAAGAATAATCAATTATAATAATTACTATTTATTTTTGGTTATTTTGAATGTCGTCATCAAATTTAGGAATTTTTGTCAAATTGGCTCCAATTGTTGACTCAATTTTCGTGGCTAATAGTTAAAACTTATAGATTCGAACGTGTGACTAAGTTTGACAACATCCAATTTAAAGTTAAACCCGATTTGATACCACAATGTCGAAAAATCAGTGGTTGTGTGAGAGATATGAGCTAGTTTATGTCTTTGTCACGAATTAGGGTTCGAGTATACTTATTATCCTCGAGGTTGTTCGACCAATGATGATTTTTATGGGCCTAATAATATTATTTACTATTTTTAATAAATAATTACCATTTGAGCATTCCTATCTTAATAACTTTTTATTAATATTAGCAAGAATGATGTGCATATAGGAAAATGTTATCTTAATGATGGCCTTTTCAAGCTCAATGTAATTACCGTGAACGATGTTATTAATAATAATAACGCTTCTTTCGCGTATTTACTTGAGTCAAATCATTTGTGGCATGCCCATTTGGGACATGTAAATTACAAATCCTTACAGAAAATGATAAACATGGAAATGTTGCCCAAGTTTTAATGTTATAAATCAAAATGTCAAGTATGTGTGGAATCAAAGTTTACGAAACATCTCTACAAGTCTATTGAAAGAACTTCTGAACCACGGACTTGATTCACACTGACATTTGTGACATGAAGTCGACACCATCTCGAGGATGGAAAAAGTACTTCATAAAATTTATCGATGATAGCACTAGATATTGCTATGTCGATTTGCTAAGTAGCCAAGATGAGGCGATTGATGCATCCAAACAATTCAAAGCCGAAGTTGAGAACCAACTCAACAAGAAAATAAAAATGGTCAGAAGTGATAAAGGTGGTGAATATAAATTTCAATTTGAAGAAATATGTCTAGAAAATGGAAGTATTCACCAAACTTCGGCTCCATATACCCCACAACAAAATGGAATTGCGGAAAGAAAGAACCAAACTTTGAAGGATATGATGAATGTTTTACTCCTAAATTCAAATTTACCTCAGAATCTGTGAGAGGAAGCTATTCGTACTGCTACACAAATACTCAATAGAGTACCGTACAGTAAGACGCAAACTATTCCATATGAAAATGGAAAGGTAGAAGAACAAATTTGAATTACTTCAGAGTGTGGGGGTGTTTGGCAAAGGTTTGAGTTCTAAAACCGAAACAGGTCAAATTGGAACCTAAAATGATAGATTGCATCTTTATTGGCTATGCCAATAATAGCAAAGCATATAGATTTTTGGTCTATAAGTCAGCAATCCCCGACATCCATCCTAATACGGTTATAGAATCTAATAATGCAGAGTTCTTTGAAAACATATTTCTGTACAGGAATAAGAATGTAGCCATTGGAGATAGCTCCAAGCCACCTCGGTATGATTCATTGGAAAATGATTCCAATATTGACGAGACCCGATGTAGTAAACGTCAAAAGGAAGGTGAAAGATGATGGTACTATTGACAAGTACAAGGCAAGACTAGTGGTCCAAGGATTTAGACAAAAGCAAGGCCTTGACTATTTTGATACATACGCCCTAGTCACAAGAATTACATCTTTTCGGATGCTAATAGCTTTGGTTGTCGTATATGGTCTACAAATCCATCAAATGGATGTGAAAACGGCCTTTCTAAATGGCAACCTAGAGGAAGAAATCTACATGAAACAACTAGAAGGGTTCGTTGTCCCTGGACAAGAACATAAGGTGTGTAGATTGGTGAAGTCGCTATATGGACTTAAACAAGCACCCAATTAATGGATAGATAAATTTGACGCAGTTATGTTGTCAAACAATTTTTGGATTAACGAATGTGATAAGTGTGTATATATCAAGAACACACCTAATCATGAAGTCATTGTTTGTCTATATGTAGATGATATGTTGATAATGAGTAGGAACATTATTGACATTGAAGAGACAAAGCAAATGCTATCAAGATCTTTCGCCGTGAAAGACTTGGGTGAGGCTGATGTTATTCTTGGAATAAAGATATCTAGAACTCCTCAAGGTCTAGCATTATCGCAGTTTCACTATATAGAGAAAATTCTTGATAAATTCAAGTATTTGCATTTCAAGAAAGTGCACACGCCGATTGATCCAAACCTTGTTCTTACAAAGAAAGAAGGTAAAAGTGAGTCTCAAGAGGATTACGCACAAGTTTTGGGATGTCTAATGTACATCACGAATAGTACTCGACCAGATATCATCTACATATAGACAAACAATGACTTCAAAGGGAAACCGACCTACCCTGATGCAACTAATTCTTAGTTGAGAGTCACAAAGTTTTTGCATAGTTTTCAAAACTTAGCATTCTCTTTCATGTGGGGGATTGTTGGGACTTGAAAGGTGTGAATGAGAATGAAAGGGGAAGAAGCCAATAATTGGTGAGTTATCGGTTAAACCAAGTTCAACTGAATTAGACCGAACCGATATGGTGGTTGGAATGAACCAACCGGTCCAACAACTATGGTGAACCAATGAATGGTTAGGCATTTTTAATGTAAACCATTGCAATGGTTGGGGGTGTAACCATCCACTTGAAGGGTCACATCCCTTCACTCACACCCCTTCATTGTCTATAAATAAACACCTACCCCCTCTGTTTTCAACACAAGTTTTGCCCAAGAGATTTTTTTGGCCAAAAGAAAGAAAAATAATTTTTATTCTTTATTGCATTTCCTCTCTACAAACACATAAAGAAAGTACAAAGTTGTGTGACTTCTCTCTGATTGTTGCGTTCGTTTGTTTAAGGGGTTTCCAGTATCGGTACAGCAAAAAAGGTACGTCCGTTCTATCCTGGGAGGAATAATTCCAATAACCTTGGGAACCGTTGTTTAGCATGTGTTGATTTCTGGCCTAGAACGAGGTCGATCTCCTTCTTGTCCTCCTCGACCCGGATCACCCCGTTGACAAAAACGACCTTTGTCGAGGAATTGAAGGTATAAGATCCATTATTGAACCCGTTCCAACAACTCAAGTTATTGGGATCAACTAGTTCATGACATGGTATTAGATCCTGTTGTGACCGAAAGCTCTGGTATTCGAATCTTGGTGACCCCATTTATGAAGCATATTGTATTCGAATCTTGGAGGGGGTGTATTAGTGAATGGTATAAGATCCATTATTGAACCCGTCCCAACAACTCGAGTTATTGGGATCAACTGGTTTATGAAATCTCTCCTCACGCAACCAACAGTTGTACTTTTCATGGATCATGGGAAAGCTAATTAGGGCCACTACTGACTCAATCTACCCTATTCCACTTATATATGTAGAGAATTACAGGCTAATTGTGCACTACATTATACTTCCCCTGCAATCTTTCCATAGAGTTCGAGATAGGTTGGCATGCAGCGTTCATTAACTCTGATTCTTACAAAAATTAGCTTCACAATCATTGCACAGGCATCACAATATTGTTCGTCTGATAGAAGCATCAGAGGCGCTTTTGCATTTCTGCGGATTATCACTTAGCGACCGGATGCCATCATAAATGGATCGTTTGGCAATGCAACAGCTCAAACTCCCAAAACTTATGCTTTTATGCTGGAGAAACAGAGGTGGCAATTTAGAATCCAATTCAATCCATCCGATTAAATATCCAACTAATTCAAGTTATGGTTATAGGCTCTGATTCGGTCACCCTGAAACAACATGAAAACAACATATGTGTTCATGAAACAAGCTGGCATCCAGAAGTTGAAAAACTA